GGTTTTAAAAAAAATATACATGTGGTTCAGAATGGATTAACCGTAATTACATTGAACCTTATGGGGAAATTTGATTCGGGTCGCGACCAATTCGGGTCGTGACCAGAGTCGCGGAACGAATTAAGTTCGTGACCCGAGGTACCACTGTATTTTGAATTAGAGAATGATTGTCATTTGCTACTTTGACCTCCTCCCATATCACCAAAACAACGTATGTGTCAGAGTTGATAAGGACAAATCTTCAGAGCAACAAGAGCATAAACATGCTTACAAGTCTTTGAAATCAGGAAATGTGGGATTGAACAGATCACACTGTGGTTCCTAGCACAGAATGACGTCTTGCATCTGTTTTCTTTCTACCCACCCGCTCTCATTTTTTCTCTTCAGCTGTTGACAAAATGTTGACCCAGGAGACCAAGAAGACCTTTAAACAGGAAGAAGAGGAGAAGGAACAGCAGCATGAGCCCCACTTGAAGGACTTCAAAGAAGAGCAGAAGACACCTGGGGAACTCACAGTCAAGAAGAAGCATAACTGTTCCAACTGTGGAAAGAATTTTTGCCGCCGCTCAGATCTTGTCAGACACCAGAAACTCCATTCGGGAGACAGGCCCTTCACCTGCACCAAGTGTGGGAAAGGCTTTGTCCAGAGCACCCACCTCATTGCCCATCAGAAGAGCCACACCAGAGAAAAGCCCTACTATTGTCCTCACTGTGGGCGGAGCTTCAATCAGATCTTAAATTTCAACAGGCACCAGAGAACTCACTCGCAGGAACCCCCTTTCAAATGTTCCGACTGTGGGAAAACCTTCAGCCGCAGCTCAAACCTTATTATGCACCAGAGGACCCACACAGGAGAACGACCCTACAAATGCTTCGACTGTGGGAATAGCTTCAGTCGGAGTTCCACCCTGGTGACTCATCAGAGGACCCACACCGGCGAGAAACCCTTTAAGTGCCAAGACTGCTGGAAGAGCTTTGGAAGACGCTCAACCCTCGTCATGCACCAGCGGACTCACACTGGGGAAAAACCCTACAAGTGCTCTGACTGCCCTGAAACGTTTAGCGTGAAGTCCGGCCTTCTGAGTCATCAGAGAATCCATATGACCGAGAAGCCCTATCTGTGCCTGGAGTGTGGCAAAAACTTCTGCCGGAGTGCAGACCTCATTATACACCAGAGAATTCACACTGGAGAAAAACCCTATCAGTGCAACGCTTGTGGCAAGAAATTTAATACAAACTCCCACCTTGTAACACATCAGAGGATCCACACAGGAGAAAAACCATATAAATGCCCCGAATGCGGGAAGAGCTTTTCTTATAGTTCAGTCCTGGTCGGTCATCAGAGACTTCACACAGGAGAGAAACCTTATGCCTGTCTTGAGTGTGGGAAGACTTTCCGTAACAATTCACATCTAATCACTCATCACAGAGTACACTCAGGAGAGAAACCCTATGCGTGCCCTGAGTGTGGTAGAAATTTTAGTGTAAGTTCAAATCTTACAAAGCATCGGAAAATCCATGAAAGAGAGACCTCCTTTAAATGTTCTGAGTAGGAAATGTAGTGGATGACATTCTGATTAGCTACTAAAAAATGCTTGAGGAAGATAAATATATGGCTTATTCTGGAAATGTTGCTAGAACATCCAAATGTTTGCAATAAGGATGGCCAAGATGGAAGTAGACATAAAATAGCAAAGAACGTATTCCATGTCTAGTATAAAAGAATGTAATTATTAAAAAAACTGATTTTTAAAAATATTTTCTCTTTGAGGGTCAGATAGGATGAGGAAAACGTTTTAAGTTCAGATTCTACAACAAGGAAACTCACATGTGTTTCTTTCTCCCCAAAATAATGATACACAAAGCAAGTATATTTGCATACCTTTTCTTGCTTACTTGCTATTGTAAAGCCCTAATTTTTCAACATATGGTGGCAGCCGAGCATAAGAGAAATGTGGAAAAATATGATAGCAGCAGGGAGAGGGGCTTTTTTTGAAAGTTACACATCTGGGGAATTCCAGCTGTTCAGGTTAGTCATCAAGAAATGCCAGGCAATCGTGTATCAGGCAAATGGGTCAAAATACTGTTAGAACTTAAAAATGGTTCTGATTCAGTTCTGCTGTAGCTCCTATGCTGTAAGCCACTTGAGTATTGAATAAACAGAAAGCAGGATATGGTAAATAAAGATGGTATTTTACTTGGCTGCCAAAAGTGTAGGCTAATGTGTGAGCCTTAACAGTTTTTATATCATCCGTCAAGGAGGATGAAGGTGTGGAAGATAAAATGAATCACTCCCAACTAATCCCTAAGAAGACCTAGCTTTCTTTAATTAACGTTAGCTCATGGCCACTGAATTTTCTATACAGCCTTAAGGATTAGAAACCTGGTATCATTCTCGGGATCCTGGTTTCTGTGTCAGATGCCTGATTTTGTAGTTGTGCAATCCATCTTGTGTGGATGGGAAAGATTTGGTTGCAAATGTAACATTGCTGGTGATTTGCTGTTAATTTTTTACTGACACACAAAGAAGAAAGCTAACTCTACTGCTGTTGATGGACACTTAAGAGGAACAACTTTGCTTCACAGTATCATGGCAAAGAAACTAATGAGGTTCATGCATTGTGCTAAGCCTTCACATTTGTTTACTTTTGGCTTAGGGTGGTGTGTGAACCGAGACAATGGTGACTTGTTCAATATACTATCGTTAAATGAACTGTGTGAGCCTCTGTGAGGGAGTATGTGTAAAAGTTTTCCTGGAAAAGTAGTGCTATATGAGTGCAGGTGGCAACACATGACCAACCTTGACTGATCTCAGAAGAAGCTCAGCAGAGTCAGAAAGGTTAATTTTTGGAAGGGAGACTGCTGGAGAAGCAGTGGCAAGTTAGGAGTTGAGTTTAATGCAAGGGAGGCTTTATGGTGGTCAGGAGCCTTGTTAAGGAATGATTGCCAATTAGATTGTGCTCAGGCAGTGAACCAACTCCGGCCCTGGGTTGATTGCATTGACTTTCTGGATGCTTAGATTTCTTACCCCTCTTTGCTCAAGAGCAGAAGCTACTGTTTTCGGTAAGCCTGGTAGAGTTGCAGCTGTCCTCCCTTCTCAGGTGCATCCCAACCCATCTGGAAGGCATCCAGGTGGAAAAGGTGGCTGCATGCCCAGGGATCAGCAGGCACGGATGGCAAAGTATTGGGAGGAGTGCCGAAGGAACAGAGAGCAATTCTAGCCATGGGCAGTTACGTCCCACGTGTTAGATTTCGGAGAGAAAAATTAAAGTGTACCAATATCATTACCAGCAGTCTCACTGCATCTGGAAAACAGCAGTTTGGGGGGGTTTAGAACTATTTCTACTCATTTTTCGGACAGGAAAGGGCTCCTTCCTAGATCGTTTTACCAAAAGACATAGGAGGGAGAAAGCATAATTGTGCTGGCTATATTAATCTAAACATTAATTTTTTAAAAAACTATTTTAACAGAAGCTGCAAACAATAACTGAACCTGGGCCGTTTTGCCATTGGGACAATCCAAATTAAAAGACACAAACAGCCTGCTTGACAGGACAAGTGCAGAGACCAGTGTTCATCTCAGCCATAACAACAAAGCAAAACACCCTCGCAGCCAAAGCCATTATCTTTATTATTGTAGGGACTTTTAAGAATGTAGTCCATATTAGGTTTCAAAGTACGAAAGCCACTTCTGGAAGGAACTGGCTGTCCTGAACTGTTTTTCAAAGGGAGGAGTGGCATCTTGTGGTTGATCTCCAACTTGCAGCCAAGGTCTGTAACCACGGTGCAGCTCTGGCATGAAACGAAATCCAGGTGAGTCTTAAAAAGCAGGGAAGCTGGATGTTCCAGGCTGGGAAGACTTGGTTAAACCAAATGCAGCCAGGGGAGTTTGCATCCATTTCCGAAACATGGAGGTTTCCTTGATTTTGCATATCTCATCTTCCGCAACCACAAACAAGTCATCTATTTTGGGGAATGTTTTAGAATATGTTTGTATTTATCAAATTTGTCACCTCCCATCTCGTTAAAAAAAGACGACTCTGGGCAGTTTACAGAGAAGCCAAAATCAGTTAAAAATACAATATAAAATAGACCTAAATAAATAAGAAATAAATGTTCTGGAACTTCACTCTGAACTGAAACTAAGGCTTCCTTAGTTTTTTGCATTAGTGAGCCTACCCTGCTGGAACTGACTCACTAATGCAAAAAATTATTACCTTTAGTAGGCCATTTCTTAATCATTTCCTTGCCATTTCCTTTTAAAATTTTAAATTTTTTTAAGATTGCTTTTTTCTAGCTTAAAAAAACATGTTCTTGAAGCAATTTTTTTCATCCGAATTGTATTATATATTCACAAAACTGCTATGCTGCTCTATACGCAGTTCAGCAAAGAAGTATTCACCCCCTTTCGGTTTTTTTCTGAATGTTTCTGTATTTTTGCCACTGCAAGTTATCAGGGCTTCCTGTGAGTCCTAGTGATACATAAAGGGGGTATGAATGAATAAACACCAGAGTTTGGTGCTTTTTTCCTTTATTTCATAACAAATCCATCCAATGTGATGTGTTGGGGCAAAAAGTAATCACCCTCTTAACTTTCAGGAAATGTTGCACCACCTTTAGCTGCAATAATCCATCAAATGCCTTTTACAATTGATGATCCTTTTGTCACAATGCTGTATAGCAAGTCTGCAAATTTTGTTCGCTCCTCCATGACTAACTGCTTCAACTCAACAATATTTTAAGGAAACTGCTCATTTCAGCTCTCACACAACTTTCCTAAGGAGTTTAGGTTTAGACTCTGAGTTGTCTATTCCAAATCACTGAGTTTGTTCTTCACCTTGTAGACATGATTGTAAGTTTGGGGTCACCATCTTGCTGCATGGCCCATGATGGGCCATGGGCATGTCAGCTGATCGGCAAGCAGCCAGACCGCCTGTATTTTCTAGTATAAAGCAGAATTAACGCTTCCAGCAATGATGGCATCTCATCCTGGTCTTGAGGGGGCACAGCACCCTCAGACCTTGAGACTACCATCTCAATGGTTGACAGTTGATGTGAGGCTTATTACCAAATGAAATGTTTGGTTTCTGCCAGAGGTGAAGACACCCATGAGGCCTAAGCAGTTCCACTTTTTATTCATCTATCCATGAAACATTCCTCCAAAAGTCTACAGCAGTGTTTCTCAACCTTGGCAACTTTAAGATGTGTGGACTTCAACTCCCAGAATTTCCCAGCCAGCTGGCTGGGGAATTCTGGGAGTTGAAGTCCACACATCTTAAAGTTGCCAAGGTTGAGAAACACTATTCTAGAGGGTCACACACGTGCTTTTTGGCAAAGCTGAGAGAAGCATCAATATTGTTCTTAACAAATAATGGCTTTGCCTTTCAATTTTCCCATGAATAGAGTTATTTTTAATAATGGAATCATTTAATCAAGGTGAGAGAGGCCTGCAGATCACTGGATATTGTCCTTTTTGCTTTTGTGACCTCCTGCTCTTGGAGTGATGTTGGCAGGAGAGCTATTCTTGATTAGATTGACCATTGTCTCAGTCTTCATTTCATCATCTCTCTGCTTGTGGACTAGTGAAGATTTGGAAATGGTTTTATAAGCTTTTCTAGACTATAGCCATCAAAGACTTTTTTTACAGAGGCCCTCAGGTTTTCTTTTTAGCAGGGCATGTTATGCCTGTAGGATCTTTGAGGTGAGAACTTTACCAGGAGGAGGAGATCCAAAGTTGGTGAGTGTCATATAGAGCAGGGATGGCCCAAATTGGTTCTGAAGGAAGTACTCCCACAACTGGCCCTTTAACTTCAGTGGCTGAACTGGGGGAGGGGGGTGATTCTTCTTTCAAACTTGTACATTGCATGATAGATGGCTATGAAATCATTGAAATAAGCACCAAACATTGAGGTTATTTGTCTGCTTAGATTCCCTTTATATATCCACAGGACTGACATGAAGCTCTGACAACATGCACTGTGAAAGAGATGCAAAAATTGAAAAAAATCTGAAAAGGATCAGATGCTTTTTCACAAAACTGTATTTACAAAATTCTATTCTCCCATCAGTTTTCTGAATGGCAAAAAAAACAACAACCCCACAACACATTAAAATACAATAATAATTCAAAAATAACATTCTGGATTAGGGAATAGAGACTCCAATCAGATTAAATTACCAAATTAATTAATTAGCACCAAATTATCTCCATTTTACCACAAGTTTAGTGCTACGTTTTTTTTTTTTTTGTTCTGGCAGACAGCAAAGACAAAATACAAACTAATGAAAGAGACAGAATTTGGCTTTTTTCCTATTACCCCCCCCCCCGCCAGTAACAGAACGTCTGAATCCAATTCATGAGAGAGAAATAACTTGATTTAATGTCTTAATTACATTAAAGTAGGATCAGCACTACTATTAGGTACAGTGGAGAGATGCAACCTTTCTCAGGCCAATGGTCGTGCTTGGCTTCTTGGTTGCAGATCAGAGTCCACACCCAAAAGACAACAGTCGGGCAAGGACAATAGTTAAATATGATTGAATGCAGTTTATATGTAATTAAAATTACATTAAATTAGTTACATGTAATTCTTTCCCCTTTCTGTTGCACTAAACGTTGCAACCTGCTGGCCGCTTTTGGAGGTGGAGGGCACATGCTGGGTTTTGGGGAGCCAAATGCAGCCCTGCAGCCTCTGGCTGTGCACCTCCGAAGCTGGGGAGGGGGCGGGACTGTCTCAGGAGACAGACAGCAAGCAGCCCTCCTCCCCACATTCTCCTCTGCCCCCTAAGCTGGTTTGCCACTCTCTGGCCTAGCACAAACGATGTCCAGTTGCCAAAGTTGAAATAAAACCCAGCTCTCAAACTAGTTGGGGTGGTGTGAATGGAATGAGGGCCCAACATCTTGTTCTTCACTTCAGGCAACAAAATATCTTGGGCCAGCCTTGGAACGATTTCACAAATTCACCGCTACCCTCCTTCAGTTCAATGCAAAGGCCCACTTTGTGGATGCCGTGAGGACACTGCCTTCTGTTCTCCCATGCTTGCAGTCAGGGCAACCATTAGAACTGTCCTCTCAAGAAGCCAAACTGTTCCTCGTGCCATCTGTCCTTTCCCTGCTACTGTGGATGCTGTTCAGACATGATGGAGATGCCTGATGATTCCACCGGATGGTTCTCTTCTGGGAATAGTACAGCATCTTATTTGTAGTACTCCATCCTTGGTCTAAAAGATTCAAGGACAGTAGATACAAGCTTTTTTCTCCATTTCATCTATTCTCAATTCTCTGAATAAGATTGATTGTGTAATGAAATCCAAGGGCTGAAATCAGGTCTTTCCATGCCAAAACCAGCACTGTATTGTCTGTGGCACTCAACTTTGCCACAACAGTTTCAAAGCTGAGAAAAATCTCCTCTCCGAACTGTCTTGATTCCAGCTCTAAGCCCAGAAATAGGCTCATAATTGGCCATTCAAAGAGATAGCCGGGAGACATTTCCCCTCCTTTGCTTCCCTCATATAGAAATGCCCTTTTCAACATCAGGGTGATTGAACCAGGAATTCACTACCAATAAGGAGATTCAAGGTTCGCTCTTAATGGTTACCCCTGAATTTGGCAGGGGACAATTATCTCCAGTGGTGTGACACCTCTTATGTTGAACGAACTGTTTGCTACCGTTAAAACTTTTCCCACAGTCAGGACATATGAAAGAAGTCTTTGCCATATGGATCCTTTGATGTGTAACCAAGTGTGAGCTCACACGGAAGGCTCTCCCACAGTCTGGACATTCGTAAGGCTTCTCTCCTGTGTGAATTCTCCGGTGGATAATGAAATGAGCCCTTTGGCTAAAGCTCTTCCCACATTCCAAGCACATGTACGGCTTCTCTCCTGTGTGAGTTCGCTGGTGAATCACAAGATTCATCTTCACACTGAATTTCTTCCCACAATCCAGGCACTCATAAGGTTTTAACCCAGTGTGAATCCCTTGGTGTTTCGCCAAATGTGCATTCCGACTAAAGCTTTTCCCACAGTCTGAACACCGATAGGGCCTGTCACCTCGGTGACTCCTCTGATGCCTCTTGAGGGCTGAGTTTTGAATGAAATTTTTCCCACAGTCTGTGCAGTGATAGGGTTTCTCTCCTGTGTGGATCCGCTGGTGGTTGACCAGGTGGGAGCTATATCTGAAGTTCTTTCCACAGACATGACAGACAAGTGGCCTTTTAACCCTAGGAATACCTATTTTTCTTACAGTGTCCTTCTGAGATATCAAACTTCCCGTGCTAGGTACAGATAGAGCCTGGGCCTGATCTGAAGGGCTTCTCTCAGAACTTCTCCAGTCCAAAAGGCATTTTTCCAGATGAGAACTCTGAGGACAAGCTTGCTGGAATGTCCTACAAGCATTGCTACGTGGTTCTAATTGCACACGATTTTCCAGCTGAGGATTCTTTTTTTCATTCCCATAGGCTGTTCCATTACCTTCAGGATAGAGACAAAAAACAGGAATGTAAAAGGCCAGATAGAAACTGCAAATATAGCAATAGCAGCTCACTATGGGGATCACCTCTCAGTGACAGAGGACACATTTTGCATGCAGGCCCTGGGTTCAGTCCTGGGCATCTCAAAAAAATGGTGGGAAGCACAACTGCATGAGACCCTGGAGAGTTTGCTGTCAGTCAGAGCAGACCACACTGGGGCAGATTACGTCCTTCCAATATTCAGATATATCTAATTCCACAAAGCAGAAATGATTCATGTAAGAAAACCTCCCAGAACACTCCTTTTGGGAGCGGAGGAGAGATTTGGGTAGGAAATCTTTTTTTTTAACCTCACCACAAAATGAACCCCTTCATATCTAATGCTAAGCAAACCCTCTCCCTCAAATGCTCAACCACTGCTGTCCTGGCTGGGAATTCGGAGAAGTGCTCGGATCTGGTGACTATCTAGTTTGGCAAAAGCTACACTTAAGCCACAATATAGTTTGTTTGGGGCCTAACACAATATCTGAAGCCATCTATAATGGCTTTATGTATGAACTGGACCACTGTGTCTTGTTCAGTGAACATGATTTAATGTGATGCTTGAACCCAGCTATTACTATATATAGGTTTAGGGATTTCAATGTTAGCTGAAAATAATACTTACTTAACAAGCGTTATTGGACTAATGGAATGTGCCCTAAATGGAGCTGCCCTAGGTCCAGAATCTGGCATTATGGGCGCACCACAGTCCTCCCATGTGGCATTACTTCTTTGAGAGCTGCACTGGTTACCAATCAGCTTCCAGGTGTGATTCAGGGTGCTGGCTATCACTACAAAGCCCTATGTGGCACACAGCCAGGTTATCTGCAGGACTGCCTGACTCTTAACCTGCTCAGCTCTTGCGCTGTCACAGGATGAGCATCCTCCATGAAGCAACGTCATCTGATGGGACTCAGGAGGCATGCCTTTTCTGTTGTGGCCCCTGCCCTTTGGAATGAGCCTCCCCCCTCCCACGATTCAGATGGCCTCGATTCTGTTAACCTTCTGGAAAGGTTTAAAAACTTGATTTTCCCTCCAGGTGTTGGGAGAACATTGGATGAGCCCATCTTCCTGGAGGCAGGATGCATGTTCGGTTGACTAAAACCAAGGGATAGAACATTGGCTTTTGAAAAAAGAAATTCCAGGAATCTAATATGAGCTTGAAAGAGCTTGTGTGCTTTTGTTTTGTATTGTCCCCTAAAGATACTGAATTATTTTCTGACATATTTAAAGTTACAACTGGGAAAGTTCTGGCAACTAGATCTAAAGTTTTGGGTGGCTACGCTGCCCTTAGGCTTCACTACTGATGTAAGACTCCTGAAAACCTTTCATACCCCCAAGAAAAGTCTGTTTTATCTCTGTTGTCTGATGTGTTGGTTATGGATTTCATTTCTTTTGACTTTGTATGGCTTCTTATTCACAATCTCTGTTTTCTGTTTGGTTTTTTACTTGATGTATATTGCTTAGAGTCATCGTTACACAACTTGGTCTCTATATAAATCTTATAAATAAATAAAAAGGTAACTAAAAAAAATTAAGATTGTTTTTGCCTAATGCTCTGAATACTTGAAAGTCAAATATATTAAATGTCAGTTGCTACTACTATATCATTTGATGGCTTCTGTAGTAAGGAGAAAATTAATGGGTAAATGGCATTCTACAAATTCTTTGACTTAATTAGAATTAGCCACCGTCTTCAATACCAGAGGGAAGGCTGAGAATCACTTAATCAGACAAGAAGAACAAAGAGCAATAATAACAACAATAGCCACCCAGCGTCATTGCGAGTCAGGCAGCATATAAGTTTAAAAAATTATGAGTGTTGTTGTTGTTGTATGTTGTATGTAACATGTTGGCCAAGAGTATGAGATAGGAATCTTCAATAACATTTTCTTTGGGTATTAGCTCACTCAGCCTTTCCCAACATAGCAGCCACCAAAGAGTTGGGACTGTAACCCCCAGAATTCCCAGCCAGACTGAAGCAGTCTTTGGATGATGGGAGTTGCATTCCCCATTTATCTGAAGGGAACCTGGCTGGGGAGAAATTCACTGCAATAGAAAAATACAGGAACGATGCTCTCAAGGAGGCTGTTCACCGTCCTTCCTCACCCTTATGAATTTTCCGGTGTGTAATGAGGTTGGAGCTTTGGTTGAAACCTTTCCCACAATCAGGACACGTATAGCATTTCTCTCCTGTGTGGATTCGGCGATGCCGAATCAGAGCGGACTGGTAAATAAAGCTCTTCCCGCAGTCGAGGCAGGTGTACGCCCTCTCCCCAGTATGGATCCTCTGGTGCTGGGTAAGAGCAGAACTTTGACTGAATCTTTTACCACAACTGACACAGGCATAGGGCTTCTCTCCAGTGTGGATCCTCTGATGTTGAGTGAGGGCCGAGCTCTGATTGAAGCTTTTCCCACACTCCTGGCAATGATATGGCTTTTCTCCAGTGTGGATTCTCAGATGAGCAGTGAGTGCCGATTTGTGACAGAAGGTTTTCCCACATTTGGGACAAGAATCCTTTCTTTCTCCTGCATCAGCTGGAGGACATTCTGCAGCCTGGATGCTTTTTCTTAAGGGAACAGTTTCACCAAAGCTGCCTGCCACCATCCGCTTCTCCTCTTGGATTTCTCTCCCGAGTCTGTTGTAACGAATATCAGAGTTCAGGGAGTCCTTCACTTGTGAATTACCCAGCAATCTCCTGAACGGTGTTGTAGTTCTGGGGCTTCCTGGCTGAGAAAAATCACCTGCAAAGAAAGTTTTTGGACTTTAGGCCGTGTACCAAGCACAACAGGAAAGCAGAGGACCAAGGCCAGCTTTATGGATCAAAACCCCATCTTCCCATTTTGAGAGAGCAAACATTCAGCACACTTGCAAACCAAATACCTACCAAGAAACGAAGTTGTCATGGTACTACAAGAGACTGTCAGACAAAAGCAAAATGTCACATAAAGCAAGGAAGGAGGACTTTTACAGCCCAGGCATAGCCCCAAATGCATCACAGAAGAAAGTGGTATACGGAGGAAAGCTTGGAAGCTTGCAAATTCTGCTATGCTATTTTAATTGGTCTTAATCAGGGTACTTCCCAATGATGGATGGGGAGCTTTTTCTTGAATCAAAATAGCTATTACTTTTTATGTGTCTTGGAAAATGCTGCAAGTAGTCAACCAGGATGGAGTCTGCCATCAAAGGAAGAGGGCTTCCTACAATTTGAAGAGGGCTATACCATTTAAAGATCCATCCTCCTCCATAATTCGATTTAATTGACTTTTTATCTAATCAAACAGCCAATATTTCCTTCCAACTTTGCTGACTTAAATATTTCTTTATTCCTGTTTCCTGCCAGAAAGAAGCAACTACTTTCTTTGTCCCTGAAACCTATTACTAATAAATGTATTCCGACTACAATCTCCATTTGGAGACTAATCTTGAACTTTAAACTTCATCACTAATCATCTGGCCTAATGTTTACACTTTCTTGCTCTTTTCCACTCCCTGTTATTTATAAATAACAGGGCACACAAATTTAATAATAAATAAATTTAATAATAAAAATAAAGTTCATGAGGAATTCAAAAGTTTGCGCAGGGTATTATTACTCAGCATGACACCTTGTGGTATCCTATAAAGTACTCTCTTTCCTCCATGTTGTTTAATGAAACAACTGCCAGAGTTATCTAGAACTTTTAACTGAGGTGCCACTAGATACCATGTTCTTCTGTTCTCTGCCCTCTTACTCCAAATTACCTCAGCTGTTGCCTAAATTTGATGGTGAAGAAGCTGAAATTAAAAGCAGACAAGATGGAGGCACTTCTGATTAGTAGGAAGCCTGACCAGGATTGGGATCAGCAGTTCTAGATGAGGCTGCACTGCCTTTAATAGAGCAGGTCCTTCATCTGAAAGTGATCTTTGATCCCCAAGTCTCTTTGGTGTCAGTAAGTGCGTCTACACAATTCGAGTACATCAGTACAACCCAGTGTTTCTCAACCTCAGCGACTTTTAAGACATGTGGACTTCACCTCACAGAATTCCTCAGCCAGCCAGCCCAGATCGTAATGAACTATCTTCAAAGACAGCCTTACATAGAGTTTTAGTAGTAATCACCATGTTACAAATAACTACAACTGGCATGTCACCATGACTAAGTTCTCCTTCTCTAAGAAGAGGTACAGTTGGTGCATCAGTGCAAATCAGACTAAGCTACTTCTGATTATGAACATCACCTGGGCATCCAAATTTCATTCCCACTGAGAGGTAACTACAGAGGAAAGATACATATTTAGCAGAAAGATATGTAATATTTAACACAAAAGAGATGCTACTGTTCCCTTTCATACATACACAGATAGCTCCTCTAATGAATGAAACTTTTTAAAGCATTTTTTAAACTACAGAAGTATTTTCCTATATGCATCTCTTCTTTTCTTTTCTCTGGAAGTAACTTATTATATGCATAAGGACAAAACATATGGGGAAAAAATGGAATCGTCGCTTCAGATTATTTTAGCCATGCCTCACCTGGAATTAATTTTGTCAAGGACTGGTTCTTCCAATATTCCTGAAAGTCCATCCTCCACAGCCCGTCACCTTGCTCTGTGCGGGTGGCCATGCCAGGCTGAGCCATTGGGAAACCTGCTCGGGGGGGGGAGGGGGAAACAGCCTGTCTACTTCTGCGATGCAATATAATACAAAGCTGTTGTACTCTTTTTGAGGTCAGTGGACGTTAACCGCCTAATGAAAGGATTTTTTTTTCTTTCTCGCCTGTCAGCAAATATCCCAATGAACACACTCTGAAGGCATGCACGGTAGCCATACTGCTGAAATGAAGCAGGTCTGAGACCAATCATCCCCTGAATGGGAGACCACCATGAATTCTCTGTGCACGTCCTGGAAACAGAGTATAATGTATATAAAGGAAGTAGGGACATTAATCAGGGCACACCAATTTTAGCTGACCTTACAAGGAGGGCAAACAGCATACTCTATTAGGAACTGCTGAGGGGCAAGAATACAGTATGCAGTTGACCTATAAAAGGCCAGGAAGAACATACAAATTGATATGATGCCATTTCCTTTCATAAAGTTAATTAGGTGCCATCAAACCAGGCTTGACTCCAAGTGATTCTAAAAGCAAATGTTTGGCATCTTAACCTGCCTTTGACAATATTCCTGATCCTGAATATCCTTCTTGATCCTGATCATCCACTTTATTCACTGTTTTCCTCTTCTCTCTTCACCCTTGTTAAGCTTAATAATCCTATCAATCCTATAATCCCTCACCTCATGTCAAAATAGGTGAGTTTCTGCTTGCTGATCTTTGCCTCAAAGGATCAGCTGGCCTTTCTTTGGTTGAGGGCTACTCAATGGCTTCTTCGGCCCATGGTGCTTTTAGTAATCCCCTCCAAATCCATAATTCAAAGACATTTATCTTCTTTCTCTCATTCTTTCCCTGAGTCCAACTTTCCCAGCCACATATTACCACTAGAAAGACCAACGTTTTCAGTGTTCTGATCTCTCTTATCACTGAAATGGCCTTGTCCTTCATAATCTTGTTCACGTTTGTCACTGCCTGATTGGTTGGTTTATGTAAACCTTTTTAACACAGAATCTAAAAAGTTTGAATAGGGGAGGCATAACACTTACCCAGTGACACAATATGTTTATAGTTTTCCTGCATGACATTCCTGTAGAGGGCTCTTTCGTTCACATTCAGCAAAGCCCACTCTTGCTCCGTGAAATGCATGGCTACCTCCTCAAATGAGACCTACATTGGAAACAGTCAACATCTTTCATTCCTGATAGACCCCACCAGCAACCCCAGAGCCACCCACTACCCAGCCTGGAAATACATGAAAATCTTGAGTGGGGTCGAGAACTGAAGCAGGACTCCTCCAAACAAAGGATCTGGGTAGGGTGATAATAGCAGCATCTTTCTGCCTGCTTATAATGACTGACCGCAGGGTAGGATCCAACTTCTTCTGGGCTGCTTCCCCCTTGAATGATTTTCAGCCATACTCCAAAAACCAGCGTGGTGCAGCCAGGACTAAAATTCTATGCGACTGCATTTCGTTTACATATGATTTAAATTTAATATAGATAAGACCGATTCCCAATCACGTTTTTAACATTTTCTTCTATCATATTAAAAATTACAGGTTAGCTTGCGGGGGGCGCTTATGGTCCTCTAGTCTCAGGTTGTGCACTTCTAATATAAGATTATTACTAGATAAATGAAGAAGCTCTGAACAGACAAAGAACTGAAGATGAATCATAACTGCTATTAATACTATTGAATCATATAGTTTGGCTGCCATATCTTCTTCCCTTTAATTCTTTTTTCCTCTCCTTCCCCCAAAAACTCAACAGCGCCCAGAATCAAGGCAATGATTTCAGCTGAATAACCTAAGATCTTAGAGCACGTGTGGATAACTATAATTTATTTATTTGTTTGTCTGATTTTTATCCCGCTACAATCTTGGCAACCACAGTGTCACAATAAAAATAACAACAGAAGTTAAATAATGTACAAACCAACCTGTAAACACAAAATCAAAGCTGGGGAGAACAATAATAAGAACAACAAGAGGCACAGGTGATCTTACTGAAAGGCTCCTCGAAAAAGCTCCGTCTTTAGTCACTTGAGGCTACCGGGGAGAAAGCCAACCCAATCTCAGTGGACAGCCCATTCTGTAGCGCCTGTGCTGCTGTGGAGAAGCAGCACCTTCTAGCTTTGGCTCCCCTAACTTCCCAGAAAGGTGGGACAGCAAGCAGCCCCAAGACATAGTTCAAGCAGGCAGAATGAGTAAAAAGGTTAACGGTACTTACTTAAAAAGGGTCTGACATCAGCCCAAATTGCCAATTTTTTAAAAACAGCAATTAGCACAAAGGAAGGAGAAGATCCTAGCGTGTGTCCTTTCCTGACTGCTGAGTCTTGTTAACAATGGTTTGGTAGACGAAGAGCAGATTTCAACTTCTTTCACGTGAATAAAGCATATCATGAAGACACGTTTTCCTCTACATTTTGTGTTTGGATTTTTGCTCTCCCACAGAACAGCCTCATGCGTATAATGTGCTTACCTGGCGAAAAGCCATGGTGCTAGAACAGGGTGGTGCCAAAAGAAGACAAGATGTGATTTTGCTTTCTGTCAGAGCAAGAAGGATGCCTGGAAATTACAGAAGAAGATTAACTTATGGCAGCCTTCCCCAACCCAGTGTCCTCGGGGGGTGCTGGGGCTGGAGCTTCTGAAGGGCATGAGGCCTAGATATTGTAGGACTGGCGATCTGAAGAGCATCAGCTGAGGAAGGCAAGTCTAAGCCTGTCTCATGACTTGATCTAAATCAGTGTTTTTCAACCTTGGCGATTTTAAGATGTGTGGACTTCAGCTCCCAGAATTCTCCAGCCAGCACAGCTGGGGAATTCTGGGAGTTGAAGTCCATACATCTTAAAGTCGCCAAGGTTGGGAAACACTGATCTAAACCCTACCTCCAGCTGTCAGGCACAGATATTCAGAACAGGTCTGAAACTCAGAAGGCTATTAATACTGAATGCTGTGTATATATATAACATGAGCAACTTCCTAAACGCATGCTCGAATGGCCAAGACGCAACAAAAATGGCATGGGCTATCCAGACAATGAGAGAAAGTTTCATTCACAAAATCCATGGTTGCCAGGTTGCACACCCCTTTCCTGAGCAAATATTGGGTGTCACATTTATGTCAGAATGACTGCAAATGGGGATACATACATACAAGTCAACAGGGATTGCAAGCATGTGTGCTGCACTGCATGTGCAATGTACCTGTGTATCCAGGCTACATAAAGATCATCAAGAAAAAAAACCAGAAACCCTTGGATTTTCTGAAACATAAAGATGGCAGTGTTCATATCCCTGATATGTCTACTTTTATCTCCCCTTAGTGAGGAACTCACATTTCTCTCCCTGGGAAATGGGAACAACTGGGATCTACCTCATAAGACCTGCCCCTAGAAATAAATGAATATTAATATTATTTATGCTGGGTTTAATCCAAAATAAGCACATATGAGCCCTTATACTGATAACAGCGTTGGGCATATTCTGTACATTCTCCCTGATTTAAACACTGATGAAGGAAAACTTTCCTTCTTTCCACAAGGCAACATGATTATAAAGATATTTATCATAGTCTGTCAACCACGGGACTCATTTTGGTTGGCTTTAGGAAGTTGTTCCGTATTTGTCCAGAGTTTTAGGACAGGGATGGGAAGGGCTATATAGCCAAATTAATATATAGTTCTCCTTTGGTCTATGCCTTTAAAATAAATTAAACTATGTCACATGTATAGCACTGATTTGATTTAGACTGCATATCCAGAGTGATATGGTATTGTTTTCCATTTTTTAACATGAGGCAGCAACTGGCTATGCCTCTCTAAAATAGAGTCTGCGTACATCTAAAAACCCAGGGGCTTAATAACACGGAAAACAACAGAGGCCCTCATGCTCACCCAGTGACATCACGTGTTCGTAATTCTCCTGCATGACATCCCTGTAGAGGGCTCTTTCACTGACACTCAGCAAGGCCCACTCCTGCTCTGTGAAATACACAGCAACTTCTTCAAATGCCACCTGCATCACAAAGAAGTGACATCTTTACTTCGAAACAGAAGAGCTCCTAACCCTACCCTTAACACAATCACAGTTCGCCACTGAGGTTTGCAAAATTATGGAAACTGTAAATGGGGGCAAGAACCAGAGCTTATATAGTTCAGACAAAATGGTCGTTTGTCTTGCTCTCATCCTGACAGAAGCGGGATTTAAGATTCTGCTTTGCAATTGGATGAAGCAAGCTACATAGAAGAACTGCAGAAACAAGTGGATAGAAAAAGAATCATAGAATCACAGAGTTAGAGAGGGGGAAGGGGCCACTTAAGCCATTGAGTTCAACCCTCGTCTCAGTTGAACCGAGCTGTGTCAACTATTAGTGGCCACATAGATATATCTTCTCCAAGATGAACTGTCCCCAACCTGGCCCTTCAGGTCTTCCAACTGTGCATTCATCACCTCTGTAACTGAGTCCATCCACCTTGCTTTTGGTCATCTTTTTCTTCTCTTTCCTTCCACCCTTCCAAGCATTATTAACTTGTCAGAGGAGCTGGGTCTTTGCAAAATGTGTCCAAAATATGATAATTTGAGCTTGATCATTTGTACGTCAAGTGAGAATTCTGGATTGATTTGTTCTTGATCTATTTATTCGTTTTCTTGGCTATCCATGGTATTTTCAGGAGTCCTCTCCAGCACCAAAGTTAAAAGGCATCAATACTCTTTCTATCTTGCTTTTTCAAAGTCAAATTTTTGCTTCCCTAGAATGTCACAGGAAAAAACATTGTGTGCACAATTCTGATCTTTGTAGGTACAGAGACATCACGGCATTTGAATATTTTTTCCATGACTTTACTAACATGATGAA